CCCGTATTCCCCGATACCCTGACGTCTGCGCCTTTGTCTCCATTCCATTCCGTCCCCGCTGGGCACGACGATATTATTATAATTAAATGTATTAATGGTTTTATTATTAATATTAAAATAATTAATAAGAAATCTTTATTTTAAAATATATTTTATTATATAATAATAATTACTGTTACAGTCTATCATTGTCTAAATGTATTTTTACTGTCTAAATATATGTATTTAGCTAGTGTAAACCATATCACAGCGAATGCGAGGCTGAGACTGAAGCGTTACCCTTTGTTTCCGCTGAGAGACGTGCCGCATGACTTAACAAGTTCTTAGGTCTGCGCTCACGGTTTGACTTCTGAGATTCAGATCGAGTTCTAGGTCATTTTTTTTTCGAACTGGTTGGTTCGACTTTTTAGAAATTTGAGTTATAATGAGTTCGAGAACTGAGGTACCACGGTATTTTCATTTATGGTTGTTCACTTAACTTTCCTTAGCTTAAAGAGAATAAAAAATCTGCAGTATATGAAATAATTGGAAAAGTGATAAAAACCTGTGGTGGGCAGAAACTTTTGACTGGTAGAGTATTAGCAAGGTGAATTAGTGGGCTGGACAGAGCACTTCAACACAGAGAAGCAGGAAATGACCATTGTACAATAAGGAGAGTGGTTGAGAATTATTATATTATTATTATTATTGTTATTATTATGGTATTATATAAGTTTTGTTAGATTGATTAATTGATTGATTGATTGATTGATTAATGTAAATTTATTATTTTTTAGAAAAATAAACCATCTATTTTTTGTAAGGAGAATGACCATGGGGTGATAGATTGTTTTGCTTAATCAGTGTATGTAGTAAATAGTTGAAACTATATATATATAATAGAGATATCTGTGGACTTGCAGGCAACAGCTAATAAAGCAATCTAACTGCGATTTAATATCACTGGTTTGCTTTTTGTTATTCACGTCATTTCCTGCGTAAATCAATTTGATGTATACATACAACTCCAAAGGGGAATTGACTGATTTCATTGACAGTGTCATGAATGCTACCTAATCAGATCACCACAATGGTTGTATACATACTTGTCTTTTTGATTTGCAACTTTTTATTTAAATGCATGCATTTATGCATGACCTTTGTCTTATAAACTGTGGCCTGCTTAATTTCATGCAACCTGCCCCCAAGCTCACATCTCTACCCCTGGTTTCATCTCCTTTTAATATCTTGAATCTGCCACTACGAGACGCTAATACAGACAATACTCCTAGCACTACCTCATTTCCCAGGAGAAAGACTATTCTTTATTGCATGATGTTATTTTACATGTGCTAAATACACCAGGTCAAGCGTAATGCTATTTGATAAATCCGGTTATAGCCCCATTTGTAATTTTCGACAACGGCCCTTACAAGAAGGGAGTAGGAGCCAATATGCTGTCATATAAGCAGCATGATTAGGAAGGCAGATAGCATGACTCTGCACCGGGCTCCAGCTGCCCTCTTGGCTCCTATGAGAAGATGATTGCCATTAGAAGGCCTAGCCTGAGAAGGATGTTAACACACCACTAAGCCATTACCTGGGTGCCTTTCATCTGCTGCTCTCTCACAAAGGCTCTACATTACAGACCTCTATAGGTGTACTCGCAACTCACATCTGCCATTCAAGCATGCTTTTACCACTACTACTATGACTACTACTACTAGTATTATTATTATTATTATTATTAGGTAAATTTTATCAGGAGTACAACCTGCACAAAATGTAATATATATCATCATATACCGATACATTCACTCACTCTGTAACAGCTAATTTCTATAGTCTTCCCCATAAAGGCACCCATTCCAGCTGAAGAGCAGTGCAAACCAGCACACACTTTCCCTAATTAATCTGTCACATTAGCAGGGTGTAGCAGAAAGGTCTGGAGCTGGATAATAGCTTCACATGCTGGGGTTAGACAGCTGAGTACCTCTCACTGTTTACTACTGTTAGCTGCCATCTACAGGACTGAACAAATATCACTCATCTCCAGGTTTGCTAAACTGCATGATGAAGCTGACATCGCATACAGCTGGCTGACAGGCACACATCTAAAGTGTGTGCTATTCTTCATGCCACGGCGAGACAAGCTTTTGCAGTAAAAGTTTCTGTGAGGGATGTTTTGCTGTGTTTCCACTCATTCCATTAATGCGGATCAGTATATCAAGGTCAGCAGAGGTTTGAGGAACACCAGTACTGGCTGCGGTAATCCCCTATTCATTCCTTTCCCAGTTACCAAGCATCAGTCCCCCAAGGCTCTTCCAGGAGTGGGAGGAGAAAATCATGAATTAGTGAAATACCGAATGGAAGAATGATCCTGGTATAACACTGACTCAGACAGAAGCCCAAAAGACTAAGAAGTTGTATTTTATTTTTGATTCCTTTGTTCACCTGTATATAAAATGGCATAATTCTCCAATATTTCTTAATAATGAAATGGTCCTTCTCATTTTCACCTTATTTTGCATATAATTCACTGGAAAAGTGAAAAGTCATGAGTGAGGCACTCTCTAAAAATGAGAAGCAGTCTTTTAGTTCTTTGTTATTCTTAGTCACTCTTACCCATGGAGCCATCCCGAGAATAGCTTTTACACTTTGTGTTACCTCCTTCCCAGCATGTCACCCTCATAAACTTCACAACAACAGGCACACATTAGCTGTCTTCCATGAACAGGGTAGGACCCCAGGACAAGCGCACCCCACCCAACAAAATCAATGGATTCATGTGATGGGAGCAGGACCCTTCCCATGACCTGCCTAATCATGTTAGCATTTCTTAGCCTAAAACTTTCTCCTTCCACACAGCACTTACTCCCTTCTCCACTTTCATTTTAACCGATTTTTTGCACTTCAGTTTTCAAAACCATTTTGCACACCATTCAACTAGCTTATGAGAGGACAGTGAAGGACAGAGAAAATCACATCATACTATAGAGGTAGCAGGATCTGAAAGAGTTTTCATGCATTGTGTAACTTTATATAAGACCAAACTTGTGAGATCTGTATGCATGAAAAAGGCATTAAGTCTTAAAATCATGGCTAAGAAGATCAAATACAAAAGATTCTGTTATTACAGTGATTATTATTGCACCTTAAGGTGTTCTATTCTTTAATCAAATTACATTTATTTGCATTTATTTATTTAGCAGATGATTATGCCCAAGGAGACATACAAGTGAGACAGAAAATATATCATTATGAATCAAGCATATATTGAAAATGGCTTAAGAATTTGTATAATTGTGCATAATGATTTGGGAAGTGAATATTTTTCTGAAAAGTAGTAATAGTGTATTATTCTGACACTAGCATGCAGCCGTGTTTTCTATATAAAAGCAGTATATACCACTATATAATAAAACTACTGAAATCAAAGAAATGGCAGATATGTGCAGGCTCTTCATTATAATTATAATTACTTTTTGTAATATATACTCAAGATGCTCTGTATAATTGGCATTCCAGCACATGCTTACCATCTCACATAACTGGGTGTGGACATTACAAGCAGACTACAAACAGAGTCAGAATTCCTTGTTTCTTTGTTAATACATGTTACAACAGGGACAGAACTAAAAACTGGTTCTTATATCTGTATAGGACTAAAATCCCGGGATGCCTACTTCTGTGTTGATGTCAATGGAAAGGCTTCGTGCTTCATTTGAGTTATCAGCCCCTTTACAGGACCAATTATTCTGATATATAGTACACCTAGAAACTGTAAGGTTAAAGCCAAGAAATTGGAAAGGTCACAAAAATCTGCAAACTAAGTGTGTCAGAGAAAAACTATTGCAATTAAAAGGTATCTAAATGACAGAACATTCATGAGCCTAGTCATCAAAACCATTATAACAACATTCTGAGGGCATAAGGGAATTAGTGAGCGATGTGTGTGAATAAACATCAGTTCTCTGTTGCTAGCTTACTTGAACTTTGATGTATTGGTCCAAAGAAGGAAATGCTAGGCATGAAAAACAGAAGCAACAAATATTCTTTAGCAGACCACTTACCCATTACTATCTATTATCTAGTATAAATAGCTCATATAGGTAGCTAAGTGATCAGAAAAAGAAATGTAGCTAGCATTGACGTAGTTAGTGGATTTTTAAGCAAGGGGTTGATCTGCAAGGAAGCATCTGAATGAAATGCGGTCTGCAGTATAATGGAGACTGGCACAACTGGTCCAAACAGTTGTGATTTTACATGGAAAATATGCCTTACTGGTGCAATGAATGCATTTCAGTGGATTTTCAGCTTCAGAATTTCAGAGTTTCAGCAGACACCATTTGAAGGCCAAGATAGGCATTCAGCTAAGAAATGAGAGTAGGTGAAAGGTATGATGGTAATGTGTAGCAGCAATAACCTGCCCTTGCTCACTTATAAGCACGCACCCGACGCCGTTCTTGATAACCTTCCCTGCTACGCTCACTCAAATCAGGCGCCATGTTGTGTCAATTCCTACTGTGTGTAGCGTGACAAACCTCAATCCCTGTCACGAGCAGCAGGGCCAGAGAGGCTGACCTTTACCAGGGTTAATGGCTAAAGGGCAAGCGAGGGGTGAATGAAAAATGCATCAGGGACAGCAAAGGAGAGAAACGAAGTCAATGACAGACTGATTAGCATTTATGGCATTTGGAAGGCATATCCCTGTCACAGGCCCTTCACTCTCTTGGCCTTGCTTTGCTTTACACACTTATATATCAATGACAAACTACTCAGGTTTCTCATAAACCAGCAGAAGCTTTGTTGTCATAAAAACTGCAGTAATGTGGGAAATAAGCCTAAGGGGTATGTGTACTCATGATATGTACCACTAAACCACTAACTAGTTCCTTCAAATGATGTCAGTGTTATTTTTATCTATTAACATGCAAATAACATGAACACATACATATATGTGTGTGTATACAGTATATGAGGTGGCACCGTGGTGCGTACATGCTGGTGTGATAGCTTACCTCTGCCAGAGGCACGATGCCCTGCAGAGCTCTCTGGCTGATGTACAGGTTAGACACTCCCTCTGCCTCTGCCGCAGTGGATCCTGGGTACTCGATCTGCCACCGCACCGGCTGAGTGGACTGCACATTGATGAAGTTGTCGATCTCAAACTCTACACGCATGACCTCGTGGGCGGAACGCTTCGCCCTGGAGAGACAGGAAAAAGCGTTTGGGTGAAGAGGAAGAGGACAAAGAGCTGCTTATTGACCACAGAATACATACACAACAAGGATTAGAGGCTAAACCATACAAAAATAATAACAGACAAAGAGTAGGATGTAAAAGGTCAACGTAAATGAAAATGAACATTTAAAAATGCACTCAGTACTGGGGGCTCAGTGGTTGGTCTCATACGTCCAGGGTTGTGTTTAGAAACACACAGTGAGGTGAACTGGTGCCTCTGAATTGCCTATAATGTGTGACTGTGTGCTCTGTAATGCCTGACATCACATTAAGGATGTGCCTCCCCAACCTGCCCTTCCTGAGACAGGCTTCAGTCTCACCCCCCCCCCCCCCAGCCCTCTACTTGATAAGCAATATAGATTACAGCTGGGTGGAAAACTCTCGCAAAACATTTTTTCGCTTAAAGCTACTAAACTGTCTTTGCTATTTTGATTGTGCATGTCCTTCACGTCAACTAAAATACAATGCATAATCAACCATTTGCAAAGTATAATTAGGAAATCACATAAGGTTTACTCCCAATCATCATTTTTACCAATAAATTATGACAGGAAGTTTAGTTACTGTCAGATTTTATTACTGTCGCACAACATACTGTACGTACAGAAAGAGCGAAGCATTTAAATAAAGTAAATCTAATCTAAATTTGTTAACTAGGATTCATTTTTGGGTTTTAAATTGACCTGAAACTTTCCCTACAGTAGTTGGTGTACTAATGTTTTAATGCATGGAGTTAGAATTCTAGCAATGTAAACTGTATAATTGATATTTTTATATGTAGAAATAGAAAGTAAAAGCTATGGACTATAGCTCCATTTTAATGTATCAGATCACCATAAAACCTTGTGCCTTGGACACACATTATTGTCCAGGCCTGCACTTCACCAAGATATATAACCGCTCACTGCCGATCTTTGACTGCTGTGATCGCTAAGGCGATGACCTTTGCCCCAGATGGCCTTCAGAGAATTCCCTGCAGTATCGTTTACAACCTTAGAACAGGTTCCATTACAGCCCCTCTATTGGTTGCTTGATGGATGTCGCAGCTCTTGACATACCCTTTTTCAAAGTAATTTCATCCCAAATAAATAAATAAATAGACAGGCGCAGCCTTAAAACTTGCAGCGTGGATCGAGGGGGGGCATGAGAAAGGGCAGCGGAAAATGGAATACAAGGATGAATGGAGTGTTAATCACTCAGGACAGAATGATAATAGCAGCACAACAGCTTTACATCGACAACGCTGGTCCTGTCGCCCCATAAATCAGCCACTGCCTGCAAAGCGTGCAACTCCCACCACCTCAGTCCTCAACAAGAAAGAAATATGATGGCACTCGCTTGACCATGCTGCGAAGAGGGAGTAATCATTGCTTTATAATCCTTGAGTACAATATGAGGGAAGAGTGGGGTGATGAGACAGATGTTCTCCAGCACACGGCAGCCGTGGCCTTGCTGAGCACCTGGGTTTGACACTTACAGCACTGGCACTTAGAGTCTACTGCCTTTAGCCAGCAGCCAGCAAAAGAAACCAAGACAGGAGGCATGTGGAAAGGGGTGCAATTATCAAGTTTCCAGAAGTGTATCTGGAGAAGTATTTCCATTAATAACTTCTGCTGCTTATAGGAATAGCCTTGGTATGTGAAAGTATTAAAATAATTTGAGATAGTTAACTAGATTAAGGTCATAATTGAAACATGATGCAAAGGAGACTAGAAGAAACAGGTTGGTTAGGCAAAAAACAACAATAACAAATGGTATAGGAGTTGCCTGAGGTGGAATGCAAACTAAGGCAGAGGTGGAAAGGAAGAAGGTGGTGAAATCTGTCACCTATCCCACAATCGTTTCTGAAATCTCACATGACAAGATAATCCAAGGGTGGTCCAGTGGCTCAGTGGGTAACACTGATGCCTACTGAATAAAGAAGAGAGAAATTCCAGCTATATCCTGCCCCAATAACCTCTGTAGTTTGTGTACTTTCTCCATGAACAGATTATTGGGACATCCACTGAGAAAGGTCAAGATCAAAGCAACCACCAACCCTGCCTAACTTAATTCAGGCACCAATGCAGTAAAAACCAAATCAGGAAGGAGGTAAGAGGATTTATAAGATTACCTTGCCTCAGAAGAATTAGAGATGATATTAAGCATTAAGAGACAAATAAATGCATGCATGATTAGCATAGGTAGTGAGATCTGAAGTTACACATCCAAAGGAGGGTTAATCATTGTATTAAAAAGTTAATGAATGCAGAAAAGCAGAGCTTGAACGACGAAGCTATGTGGAACCACCAAAGTGCCAGCAGACTAGTATTTCAGGGTTATATTCATGAGCTACAGCCATGACAGGTAAGAAACTTAGATTAGTTAGATTCTGGCGCAACTAAAAAATTTACCCAACACCAGTCATTGGAATAGCACTGTAACTGACCTTGGCTGATGTTCCGAAGAGTGTAAATTAATTACTACCATTTGAAAGCCTCAGAGGGCACAGTCAGTTGGTTCCTCTACTTGTCTCTTAAACATGCCAGAGAACTTTGTTTCTGGTCTATGAGCTTTGTTAACACTGTTTTTAATGCAGCTGTGAAAACACAACTATTGGGGCTAAATAATCAGTGAGATAAAAGCCATCTATCTGTCCATTGTTTTATTTTCGACAATCTTATATGAATTTGCTAAATTCACTGTACTATCTGGAGCTGATCGTAAGTACAGAGATAGAGGCCATGTCTCACTGGGAAGGAATCATGTTCCATCACAGGGAATGCACTCTAATCTCTATTGTGTCCTTGGACTGTGGGAGTTTGTAATGGAAAGTCAAGCAAACACTGGGAGAACATGCAAACGCAGAGTTCCATGGAGACAGTGTTCCTCCCCTTAGAGTTAACAAGTAGTTTCCTTCATAAAAGAAAAAACCGGCTAACGCCAACATATCACTGTACCCATGACCAACAAGTTCTTCATCTGAGCCACACGCTCAGCCCACTGAGAAGCAGGGAAACCCCACAAGGGTAGAAGGGCTAGAGACAGAGATGGGAAAGGGTGGAATGATGAGCAATGCCTGCTGGCCAAACGGGGTAAGATCGCAGAGGGTGGGGACACACGATACTGGCCCTGACACTAACCTGCCGGACCGGATATTTGCACCTTCTCACCAAGGCTTTTGAGTAGTGGTCCAGAATCGCCTACCGCTACTGGATAGGCAGTAACTACAGTGCGCTATTTTAGAACCAAGCAAATCCAATATGAACAGAGCAAATTTTCCTAAAAGAAAATCCTTTGTTCCCATGTCAATGGCTCCATTACACAGTAGTGTATCTCCTAGCAATCTGCAAGGGAGCCGTCAGTAGGAAGGCCAACCATTGGCTGGGTGTGACTAATCTTTTGTTGCAATTCAAGACCATACCTCTGACTGCACAGTAATAATTTGTCATGAGTGTTAAACATATTCGAGATGTTGGGGGAGGTAGGCGACGATTTCTTTTTCTGAACTGAATTAATTAGACAGCATTGATTTCAGCCACTATCCAACTCTGAGGAGAAGCCAAAGTATTTATTTTGTGTCAGATGAAATAAAACTGGGAGACGGATCTCAAGGCCATTTATCACAGAGGCCTCTTGTTTAACCTTTGCAGAGGAAGTCATATTTCAAAAGAGGACCCAAAAAAATCTCTAAAGATTAAGGGGTATATGTGTGTGGGTCCTGTAATCAACAAGACCTAAAGAGTAATGTTCTTATGTTTCTCCTCTGACAGGTCCACTCAGGTAAACTGGACCCTTTGAATGTGACTTGTGCTTCGCAAACTTTATGAAATTTGTCCATGGAGAATGGAAGATGTGTTTTTTTCATAGTCTAAGGAAATTTGGTATCCAGAAATGGCTGCACAGCCCTTTTCCTCAAACTGTTGGGGAATTCATAAGCCCAAATTCTGAGGATAAACAGCGCCCTGCACTGGAGCATCATTCTCAGCACTGCACTGTATTTTTTATTTTTTGCCTCAGTATTGTGAAAATTATTTTTATACCTTTATACATTTACAGTAAGAGCAAGTCAATGAATATCATATATACTGTACATACATACAGTATGTACATACATACAATACAGTCAGACCTCGGACATTCGTGAGGTTAGGTTCCAGAACCCGTCGCGAATGAGGAGGATTCGCGGATGTTTGGTTGAGTCACTAAAGATGGTAATATGACCTCAGTCATACTCCCAAAACACTTTAATTTAATTTAATAGTTAGCTTAATATATTACCTTAAAAAAAAAACAAATGTTTGATGTAAAAATAGAGTACAGTATCGCCTAACACATATTTGTCACACTAGCACATTTATACAGTACAATATACTAATGTTACCCCTACTAATTCATAGAAAACGGCATTGGCTACCGTTCTCTTTTGCATTCACAGTACGGTGAAATTAGTAAACGAACGGGACTGTAAACTTATTGACAGAAGCCATATCCGTAACCAAGGTACAACTCAATAAAATACGTAAAGGAAACATGTACTGTACGTACAGGGTACAGGTATTCAATCAAAATTACGTTAAGACGTACAGAAATAATAAGTTATAAAAATACTATGTGTATGCTAACCACGAAAAACAGAGAACAAAAATACATGCACACATTAAAAATAATTTATAAAAAAACAGTAGAATGAAATTTTCGCAGATCTGTGAATTCGCGAATCATGAAGCGCAAATGCACGAGGGCTGACGGTACTTGAAACACGACATTCAGTACAAATATACCCACAAAAAAATCCACGTGCAATAATTAGCTCAAGGGTGATTCCTGTTTTGGGCCACATATTCATGTCCTTGTGTTTAACTGGCTCTTATTCTTTTATAAAATTAGACAAATCTTTATAACAAACCTATTTTATTATGTGTTTAGGTGTTTTGTATTGCTCTAACAAAGATAAATTATTATTTTTATCTTTTTACATCTCT